CGTGTGTGTGTGTGTGTGTGTGTGTGTGTGTGTGTGTGTGTGTGTGTGTGTGTGTGTGTGTGTGTGTGTTTTCTTTCCCTGAAAAACCTTCCTGATCGGCTGCCGGTGTCTTTTCTCCTTCCTCTGAGCGCGAACGCACACATTATGATCGGTTGCTAGGCTACCAGAGTGGCCCGGGGTCACTTGCCCGGCCGGGCCAAGAAAAAAAACATATACAGTGTAGAGTTTTCCATCTGGTGTGGGTGAGTGATAGTCTGCTTTGACTTTTGCCGCAGGTACCTTGAGGGCAGTGGTTGGTGCCCACCTCAGGGTATCAGTTGTCGGGCAGTCGTTGATGCTTAACCACAGCCGGGGTTAAGGTGGATTATCACTTACAGTGTAATCAGTTAGGGGATTCTGCAGACTGTTTTTGAGGGTTCAGCCTCTACTGATTGATGAGTCGGTGAAACTTCGACGAAACAGTTTGCCACAGCCCCTCGTTTGTTGTCCTCTTCTCCCTCTCTGCCTAGGGTTTACCGGGCAGCTCTGTTTGACTATATATATTGTCACAAGAGTATCAGAGCGCAAATGCGAACAAAAAGGAAAAAAGAAAGAAAAACAAGAAAAAATGAATTCAGTTTTTTTATCTTCTTCCTTTAACTCCCCCTGTTCAGAACCTCTTGCGTACAAGGCCGCCGACGTGGATGTAGGTTGAGCGGCGGCTGCCCCCACCCCCGTGTGTCATATCGACCCACTTGCACACAGCCAAAAGCCAAAGAGGCAAAGAAAAGAGGAAGGGAACAGCCAAATATATATATAATAAAAATATTTTTGAAATTTGTTTTGTATTCTAAATTTGGTAAAGAATTTCGATGTGACCCTGAGGCAAAACTTGTTGAGTTTATTTTTCTGCATAACATAGTCTTTTTTCGGATTTTTTGGAATTTTTTATTTTTTTATTTTTTTTTGCTGGGACCTTCCCTGGTCCTTGCACGGGCTGGCCACCCGGGACCCGGGCGACCCGGCTGGTAGCCTAGATCGGTTGTCCATGGAAAAAATATTTATTGGTATTGGTATATTTGAAGATTTATATATATATATATATATTTTTTGCTTTTTGTTTTGGGATCGGCTGTCGATCGATAATACGCGACTGATATCGTAGTTCTGTTCCCCCTCCTCCCCCCTCCCCCCTCCCCTTCTTTCCATAAAGAAGATTCGAGAATCGGTACCGAGTCCGTGCGCAACAGATTATGATCGTCTCGTAGCCTACTGTCGACAAGTATTTATTGGTATTTGTGGGTTTTCCTGCCCCCCGCTCCTCGCCCTCTGCCTCTCCCTCTCCCCCTATTAAAAGTTTCCGAAGTATTTTTTTTTTTTTTTTTTGGTTCCGGATTATGTGCATGTCCTTGCCCATTAGTCTATGAGCACGAGGGGGGAAAAAAAAATGCTGCCGAATCGCCTGCATGTCCTTGCCGCCTGTATCATCACGTGCGCACCCATTATGATCGGCTGTGGATAAATGACTATTTGGCTAGGCTACCAGAGTGGCTCGGGGCAACTTGCCCGGCCGGGTCAAAAATAATTGAATAAATGTAAAAAAATAGTAGGCTTCCAGCCGGGCCGCCCGGGTCCCGGGTGGCCAGCCCGTGCAAGGACCAGGGAAGGTCCCAGCCAAAAAAACAAAACAAAAAAAAATCCAAAAAATCCGAAAAAGAACTATGTTATGCAGAAAAATAGACTTGAACAACTTTTGCCTCAGGGTCACATCGAAATTCTTCACAATTTTAGAATGAAAAATGAAATGTAAAAATAATGTTTTTATTTGTATTTATGATAGTTTTTTGGCCCGGCCGGGCAAGTGACCCCGGGCCACTCTGGTAGCCTAGAAAATATATATGTATATATATATCGTCAAGAGGTTCTGAACAGGGGGAGTTTTAAGTAAAGAAGATAAAAAATGAATTGATATGTTTTTTGTTTCCTTTCGTTTTTTCGGCTTTTGCGCTCTGACAACTTTGTGACAATAAATATTGTCAAAACAGAGCTGCCCGGTAAACCGTAGGCAGAGAGGGAGGGAGAAGAGGACAACAAACGAGGGGCTGTGACAAACTGTTTCGTCGGAGTTTGACCCGGAGTAAAAGAAATTGTTCAGTTTATTTTTCTGCATCACATAGTTTTTTTTTCGTTTTTTTTTTGTTTGTTTGTTTGTTTTTGTTTTTGCTGGGGCCTTCCATGGTCCTTGCACGGCCGGGCTGCACGGTCAAACAAGGTGACCCGTGCGGCTGGGCTGGTAGCCCAGCTACTTGGTATAGTTGACACTAAATTGGTAGTTTGTTTGTATCTTTACAATGAAAAGCTAGCTTACGGTCGTTCTGCACGCCCTTGGTGGATTTGTATGACCGCGGACGTTATACCATTTTTTTTCAATTATAAAAATAATCTGGGACCATTTCTTGGTTTATGCGTGCTATCCTTGAATGGAAAGGGGGCATACTAATATTCTCTGTGTGGTTCCAATTTGAAAGGATGTCCCGAAGGACGGAGATTACACATTCCGATCGGTCGTTTGCTTTATTTGTTCTTAAAACGTCTTTTTTGTTTGATACGGATGACATGGTCGTCACACATTTCGATCGCTTGTTTGCTGTTTTTTTTTGTTTTTTTTTTTCCGTGGATGAACACACGTCGATTAGGTGTTAGGAAGAATATAGTGGGCGAACCAATAACCAAATTTGAAAAAGAAGATTACTGTGGCCGGTGTATCCGGCCGCTTCGTAGCGGAAGGTACATTCCATGTCACACATTGAATGTTGGCGAGTTATGCAGCGAGGCCCGTACATATATATGTTGCCCGTCGCTCTCTTCGTGCATCCTTTACTAAAAGAGGTGGACTCGGTGGTTACTGATCTCGGCTTATTGATTCACACTCGCTGTCTTATTGCTTTTTTTTTTTTTTTTTTTTTAATGATCTCGGCTTATTGATTCACACTGGCTGGCTTGTTGCTTTTTCTTTTCTTTTTTTCAATTAACCTGCCCGGGACTAGGGAGGTTGGTATGAGCAGCAGGTGTGGCTCCCCACCAATAGAATGGAGCATCCTGCGGGTCCCTACTAGGCGCCTGACTTATTGCTAACTTGTTAGTCGATGAACTGCCGGACTACCGGATTGGCCGATCGATTGACAAATCGATTTATCAATGGATTGATCGCTTGATTGATCGCTTGATTGATGGATTGAATGATGGATTGGATGATTGATTGATTGATTGATTGTTGATTGTTGGCTGATTGATTGATGATTGATTGGTTGAGTGATGATTCGTTGATGGGTCTATCGATTAATTAGTTGATGGACTGGCACTTTATTGTTCTTTTTGTTGATTGTTCTCCCCATCCTTCGTCTTTGTTGGCTGATCGATCGGATTTATTTTGATGACGTGACCGCTCGGTTTGTCCGCTGAGCTGAGGGATTGATGGGCTTTCACTGTTTGTTTGTTTGGTTTTATTGTCTTTGCAACGTGGGCACGACCCGCCGAAGGTTGACAGCGAACTTGACGAATGGAGCAATTGGAGTGGTAGAGACGATCGTGGGAACGGCAGGTAAGGTGATCGGAACCTGTTCGAACTTGACAGCGAAATTCACGAATGCAGCAATGGGGGTGGTAGATGCGATCGTGTGAACGGGGCATGTAACGGGATCGAAATCCGTCCAACAAAAAAAAAAAAAAAAAACACGTCGAACTGCTGTCATTTTGTCTAGGGTGTGGGCCTCGTCGCACCACTGTCGAAAATGCTATTTTCGACAGCTCCTCTTCGCCACACAGGCTGTCGAAGTCGGAGAGGGGAAGAAAAATTGCAAGTTGTCAGAGAATGCTTCTCGACACCTCCTGTCGAAAGTTGTTGAATCCCCAGCCTGCTACTCCGACGCTTTCGACACTCCTCGGCTGCACCGTCGACTTCGCTTCGAGATTTGGTGAGTGGGGGTAAGGTCGGGATGGACTGATGCTTGTCGTACCCTCAGGCGCGTTCGTCTTTTTCCATCTTGCTTTCACAAGTGTGTGAACTGTACAGTGCTGTGTGGCGAAGGGGGGGCAAACTGTCGAATGGAGAGGCTGTCCAATTTGTTCTGACAGCCGTCGAATTTTTTGGCCGACTGTGGTGCGGTGAGGCCCTTATGCTATGACCTGTTTGACCGCATCCGGCTATAGTTACTGGCCCCGAAATATGCAAAATGAGCATGAATCGTCCGCGAGAACATGGAAAGATACACCGTCATGATTTTTGTCGTTTGTGCTTGTCGTGAGTAGTGGAGCGAGGCCCACTGTCTTGTGAATCCCGATAACCTTCAGTCGCCTTCTTTTTTTTTCCCCTTTATTTTTTGGGAAATTTTTCGAAGTGCCCCTCCAACAGCCGACTTACCCTGTCGTGTCTCTGGGCCTCTGAAGTTTCCTGCGTGCTCCTGTCGGTGAGGGGTGCAACTTTCCAGAATGCCCCTGTTGCCGGTGGTGGCACTGGAGCGCATTCCCCTGGCCCTGGGAGGGGAGCTACCAGGGCATACTGGAACGCCCTGGGAGGGGAGCTACCAGGGCATACTGGAAATTTGGAACCGGTACTGGCAGGGGCATATTGAACATATTTCAGACCCAAAGGACTTCCAGGGATTTTTTGAAAACTGCAATCGTTTCAGAGGGGCCCGACAGGGTATATCGGCCATTGGAGGTGCATATCGCAAATAAATGGAAGTTGGAGGGGCATTTCAAAAATTTCCCCTTTTTTTTTTCATTAGCTTACCGGCTTCCTTCCGCCTGCGGAAAGTCATAACTGCCAGACTTTCCAAACATCTAGTATCATCAATGCGTGGGGAAAAATTACCCTCCCCCTCACCCAAATTCTACCTAGCCCTAAAACTGCCCATCCTACTCCAGGCTTACTACCCCACCTAAGGTTATCTAAAGCCCCTCTCCTCCCCTAGCCTCCCCTACCATACACAGGCCTATCACGGCCTGAACCTGGCCTCCACGGTTGAAGGGAACCTGCTTCCCTTCAACTTGACACTCTTCTCTTCATACCCTGAGTATCTACTGCAACCAAACCTGAGGCGGCACAACTGAGTGCACAGGTTGTCACATCTATACCTACCCTCCGCTAACCGACTACCCTGCCTGTCCAACCAGGCCGCTGTGCGCAGTCTCCCATCCTTCATCTCCGCCAGGGCACCGGGAGCCGCCCACGTTTCTGCGAACAAGGGCATGCCTGCCCCTTTGTCCCCCTGGAGCACTCATTTCCGCCAGTCGGCCCGGATTTGTCTTCTTTTTTCTTTCATAAAACATTTACATTTCGTTTCACTTGGAGTTATCCATTCCATCCTGCATGGTTTAGCTTAACGGAGGCACTCTGATTGATTGATGATAATTGCTAGGTTTATAGATTGTTGTACCCGTTTTTGGGCACTTGAGATCCTCATAATTACATTTCCAATAAAAAGTTTCGGTGGGACAGGGGCCATAAGCCAGCTCTGTCTTTAGCAAGGACCTGAACAGTCTCTCAGCCTGTGGTTCTGACAAGTCCTGCCCCTGGAACCTTCTCCCATTTCTATTGAACTAAATGACCCACATCATGATGTCCTTTCCCATCTGTTGCCATGTATACACAGCCGTTGCTGGCGGAGTCACCGTGGCTGAGAAAACCCTGCAGGACTCACATCATTCGCTGTGGGGACTCTCCTGTTGGACATTTTTTCCCAGTGGTTGAACCACCAGTTCCACCATTTCCTGGACCATGGGCAGTCCCACCACATGTGCCTCATTGTCTTGACTGGCCATGAGCATCTGTCACACTCCGGGCGAACATGCGTGCCCCTGTTGTTGAGCCACTTTGCCATTTGTGCTGCCAGGTGTGATTGAAGCCAGAGCAATGAGGCAATTTTTTGAGACGGCATTAAATTTTCTGCAAGTTGATGCCACAAGCAGACCAGCTGGTCCTCCGTGGGGATTGGCAAGAATAGCTGTGATCTTTTAGTGAGGGATTAATTTATCAAGCACCGTACTCCGCTTCGATCGCTGTTTGATGGCCAAGGATGGATTCGGGTTGCATAAGTCGGCCAAGGATGGATTGAGGTTACATAAGTTTTTGACCACCTCGCTTCCCACCTTCCAGCCCCACATCTTTCAATCAATTCTGAGAGAGTAAACGGGAACTTCCCCCGCTACCACTTTGTAACTCAGAGGTGCCCACAAGCCGACCAGCTGGTCCTCCGTGGGGACTGGCAAGAATGGCTGTGCTCTTTTTTAGCGAGGGATTAGTTTATCAAGCAGCTTACTCCGCTTCGATCGCCGTTTGATGGCCAAGGATGGATTCAGGTTACATAAGTCGACCAAGGATGGATTCAGGTTACGTAAGTCTTTGACCACCTCGCTTCCCACCTTCCAGCCCCACATCTTTGGATCAATTCTGAGAGACTAAACCAGGGCTTCCCCCCTTAGGCTACCACTTTGTAACTCACGGGCGCTTGCCTACACCCCGTAGACCTCAAACTTACTGACTTCCTGAAGACCACCCAGTCCCTGGTGAGAGACTGACTGAGAGTGTTCCAAGGCGACATTCACTAATCCTGTGCTGACGAATTCCTCCAACTGGCATCTGCCACTTTCATCATCCTCCCAGTTTTCAGTTGAAAATATCTGCGCTCCTCTTTCCCTGTGGTTCTCATAAACCAGGTAAAATATCTGCGCTCCTCTTTCCCTGTGGTTCCTTGAAACCAGGTGACTGAATAAAAGCTTCCACTCTCTCTTCTTGAGCAGGTAGGCGGCCCAGCTTCTCTCTCAAATACTCTGCAGAATGCTATTGGTTTGTGACATCATCCCACAAGTCGCCTATCTTGGCCACCGCTCTCTACACCCACTTCTGTTAGAATGCCCCGGGAGTAGAAGCCGCTGAGAAGGGGAATCCTTCACGTCCACGATCAAACTCTTTTCAATCAGAGGTTGGGCTTTCACTTCCTCCTTGGACCTGGGCTGCTCACACACGCAATCATCCTCGCTTATGCCATGTGGACTGATTGCCCCGATCCGAACGGGCGTCGACTTCCCGTATCCTCGCCACGCCCGTTCCCGTATAACGAGGAAAGGACACACGTATGTGGGTGGGACGTACAGGAAGTCCTCGCCAAGATCGGTGGGCGCTACTATTTTCCTCTCGAAACAAGGTGCTCATGATTCGTAGGTGCTGGTTTTTACATTATTGAGGTGCTGGTTTTGTCATTATTGATACCCACTTTCCCCCGTACTCATTGTTATTGCCTTTTAACGAGGTAATTGTCATCCTGTGGACGGTGGTGGTACCTCGTTGGCCGAACACTTTGTGTAGCTATTTTTGCACCAAGCATTATCGGGAAAAGGGCTTCCACTATCGGACATGCGGCGAGGACGCTACACAAGGAATGAGCGATCATTGGGCTGAAGCCATCCACACCAGATTCCGAGCTCTGTAACGAACGACACTGGGACTTAATTTGAAAATTAGATCACACATGCGTACCCCCGCCTTTCCGTTCGAAAAGACGTTGAGTAGCCCGCATGGAAGTTCAAAGATACTTTTTTGATTAAATGAATGTTTGAAAGCAATGTGCACTATTTCTTTCCCGCGCAGCTATGGCCATTTCTCACTAAATTGGAACTACATGAGGGATTTCAGTTTCGTCTGTGTCCCAACGCTCTTCTTTCCCAAAGATCCTCGGCACACCCCATTTTGCTGTCCTTTGAGGCCCTGTTTCGCATTTTTACTACTCTGACTGGAAGATAGCATAGGGCGTGAGGTTGGTATCGGAGCCGACACGTGTCGGTTATGGTGATAGTGAGACGAGCTAGAGAGAGGACGAGCACCCTTTTGAACGGATTGAACAAGTCCTCCCGCCATTAGCGGAGGCAAGACAAGAAACAACCATGGCCAACGCTAATATGCCTGCCCCTCCAGTAATGGTAAGCATCCTAACCACCTTTCCATTCTGTCCCAATCACACTCATCCCGAGGCATGGCTCGAAGCTGTGGAGGCACATGGTTATGCTGAGGTTGATCTTCCTCGAGTCATCACCTTGCTTGTAAGAAACACTGCCCACGATTGAACGTGATAGATGAGTAGATTGGGCTATGTTAAAAAAACCTTCTTAGCAAGATTTGATGAGATAAGCGAGGACGCTGCCTGGTTTGTATTGAAACGCGCCCTCAAGAACCAAGAGAACTGTTAACAGACTTTGTGGATAGATTTCAAATAGCTTTGGATAAGTCTGAATGGGAAGAAAACGTTGCTCGAGACTGGTTCATAGATCATCTTCGCAATCTTATTTTGAAGGTAAAACTAAATAAGAAAGTTTCGCCCAAAACAACTCAACTACCGACAATCATTGCCAAGGCACTCGAGTTGGGTTTACAAGATACGAGCAAGTACATAGATCGGGGCGAGGAAGATATAGCTGATTCGATAGAAGACGCGACTGCGAAATGACGATCTTGGCTAAGATCAATTGGGCGGTTTTATCACCGCCACGATCTCGAAATTCCAGGCGGGCCATCACCGAGTCGTGTCCTTCGTACTTCCCCTTTTG